GTGTTTCAGAAAGCACCATGTCCAGAGCTTAGCTGTGTCAATGAAGAGTAAGATATCAATGCATGCACTCCTTACATCAGTAGTGGAGCAGTGACCTCTAACACTAGGTAAGATTCTTGTCAGCACAACAGTCAGGCTCTTGCAATAGGAATGCATGCAAGACAATGAGATAATGAACACAAGAAAGTGAATGACACTAACATATTAAATGTGTTTCTTTTGCAGATACTGCCCAATTATTTAATAGTCTTAATATTTATACCATCAGAATGAGACAGACAGCAGTATCTCCAGTATCCATCTGTTTGTCTATGAAGAGTAACGACTCTATTTGTCAGCCTCCTAATCTCAGTAATGGAACAGTGATTTCTAACACCAGGTATGATGTTGGTATTATCCAAAATTAAACATTTTCTTTAGTATGCAGTCCCTATTAACTTTGCTAATTATATCAATATATTTAGACAAAGAGCAGCATCTCCAGTATCCAGATGTGTGTCTGTGAAGAGTAACGGTTCTGTATGCCAGCCTCCTAATCTCAGTAATGGAACAGTGACCTCTGACCCTGTGTGAGTAGAGACATGCAGTGAAACCCTAATGAGATGTTATGATGAAACTCAACTGTAATAATAACAAAGATTTATCTTTGCAAGTGTTGATTTAGTTATAGGGATAGTTCACCCAAAATTTGCTGTTAATTTATTCACCCTCAGGCCATTCAAGATGTAGGTGACTATTAAAAAAAGTATATCAAGAAACACAAAATTAATACTCATGGCTCTTGACAATATATTGAGGTCTTATGAAGCGAAATGATTGGTCTGTGTAAGAAACTGAATATTATTTACAACATTATTACCTGTAATCCACAGCCTCAGGCCAACAGTCTGCAATGATGTCTGCTTCGTGAACAAATCATAATGATATAATTATCTTAATGATATTGTTTATGGCTACTGTGACATGTGGGGCGGGGCCGAGAGCCGTGGGAACGGAGTGAGGCCGGTGGAGTAAGTGATAATGCACGACAGCCCCTCACGGACGACTGCCGCGCACAAACAAAACCAAAACAACATAAATCCAGGCCTGGTCCTCTCTCCTCTTGCACTGTCGTCACTCCTCCTTTTATCCTTCCGGAGCTCCTCCGTGGGACTCAAGACCAGTGAGTGGCGCAGGTGTCGTGCATTATCACTTACTCCACCGGCCTCGCTCCGTTCCCACGGCTCTCGGCC